TATCTATCCCTCACCATACGAAACACAGCAGCCTATAAAGCTGCAGAGATATTTTACGCTAAGTATTCTGTGAGAACGTGGTCCTTCCCCAGGTTGGGCAGACCCATTCGTGCTACAACTATTATAGCTGCAGCGTGGCTGAACCACGTAAAAGTCATATATCTATGATCATATACGTACGTTAATGTAATAACGGCTTTAGAGAATCTATTACGCCGTCTTTTATGGTTGATTGCGGCCTATAAATAGCAATATAACCATCTCTTTATTTTTTTTCCTTTCCTATTATATTTTACATCTCTATTGTTGTATTAACGATCAGATACACCATAAAAAGTAAAGTAAAGAAAAGTTACAGCCTATATACGTCCCACTGCTGGGCACACGCCTCTCCACATTTCTGAGAGCGTTTTAGGACAAGGAATTGTCCGCCATGCTGCCCCAATGCGTGTTGGCGAACTTCACATGTCTTCAAAGTATTTTTTTATTCCTCAGACATGCAGGTTTCCTCACGATATTTTCCTTCACCGCCGAGCACGTGGTAAATTGGTGCCAGCAGGGATCGAACCCGGGTTACTCGCGTTCTGTTATATTTACAGCCAGTGTTGAGTATCTAAGCTACCACAGCTTTCACACCATAAAACATACTGTGAAATACTATTTATTGAAATCATAAGTATTCTTATACCAAAATACAGTTTTTTAAATTATCTGTACAAATAAATAAAATTGAAGTGTGTGTTTGTAACGACAAAATTTACAAACTTTTTATTAAATGCATATGAAAGTACATATATACAGTATAAATACCGTATATATTTTCATATTAATTACGTCACATTACGTTATAAGTAACATAAACACAATTTAAAAAAATTAATCTGTCTGTCTATGTGTTCCGACTATTCTTCGAACCGATTGGACCGATTTTGACGTGACTTTTACTGGCAGATAGTGGATGTTATGTGAAGTAACTTAGGAAGCTTTTATTTTAGAAATATAATTATGAGTTCGCGCAAAAAAATTAAAACCCTAAATTATACGCGGGTGAAATTACGGGGAACAGTTAGTCATTTGAGTATAATTTTATTTAATTTTATTTAAATATTTTTCCTAGTGTATAAAGAAAAACGTTACGTCCTTACGCAAGGAATTTCTCCGGTATCAACTTACATACATAAATTTCAGAAGGACAAACATCAAGACCCGGGACAATTATTTGTATCGGGATCCTCAGCGCTTATTGCTCAGCTAATGCGCCAAAAAGCCATCAAAAATCCATTTCAAATGTGAAATAATACATAAAATTATTTATAATAAACGTAATTTTAAAAGATATATATATTAAAAGACCGCCCCACCGCGGCTGGGGACTTCTTTAGGTGGCACTTGGCAGGACTCTTCTTAAACGATAATTTTAGCCAGAGATTATCAAAAATCACATCTTGTAATATCATAAGAATTAATAATGTATAAAGCTTCATTTCTTTTGGATTACAAAAATTAACGATATAGTAATGTAGTAGTAGCGTGCTTGTGTCGCTTATGCAGCGAACGTCTTTAGTGACAACTTACAATAGGAAACTCCACTGTCAAAATCCACGCAATACAATCATATACACTAACTCGAAGATGGTTTAAAACCTCTTGAATCCAAAACGTAAGGCAATGGGTGCGTTTGGCAGAAAAAAGCGCTAGCAAGCGCTTGTAAGCAAAATGTCGATCGTAAGCGGTAAGCGCTATCAAATCATAAGTAGCTATTTTCATCTAGGACACGAAGTTAGTTTTAAACGGGGACCCTAACCTAATTTAAATATATGTTTGTAAAGTATTCATGTTAAAAACTTACCAATCATGAAATTTTAATAACTATATAATAATAAGTATATAACTATATATAATAAGTATATGTCTATTCATGTCATTATATTACTTAAAAACTAGTGATGCAACAGAACTCTGTTTCTGTTTCCGCAACTGCGGAAGTTCTGCATGGCTTTTGACATCCGTTTCTGCTTCTGTTTCCGCAAGTGTTATAACGGAAGTTTAAACGGAACTCAGTGACGCAGCCACATAAGTAAAGGAGGGGTGGAGGAGGGGGGGATCATTTCAGCCAATCACAAGTGAGCTGGGCACGTTCTTTCGGCACGGGTACCAACGAGTTTGTTTACATATTTTTTTTTACTTTATTATACGACGTGACATAAGTGTAAGTGCGTAAGATTTTCTGTTATAGTATTTTTAGTTAATTAGTAATTTGAGTCGTGTGTGTAATTTAAGTGCAATCATGAAGACAAAAAAGAGACCTGTTTGGATGTTTAGGTTGATGATTTAGCAGCCAGATGTAAATTATGTGACAAACTATACTCGCGAAAAGAACGCACAACTACCGCTTTAAAGAGATATCTTAAAGCGATACACACCGAAGAGTTTCCAGTTTGAAAAATTTACGTAGTGATTTCGTGCTAGGGTTGTACTAAGTTACCTACTCGCTTAACGTAAATGCGGCTCTTTAGAGGGTCTGCCCATATTTCAGTGCCAATTTAGCTTTGGTGTATACGCAGCATCGCCAGTGAGCAATTATTTAGCGGATCTGGACGGATAGTGGATATGAAGAACACTGGAACAGATTGTTAGGTGTAAAAGCAGCCGAACTACTTTTCATAAAATATAAAATGCCGCTATTTAATTTTGAGTGTTAATTGAAGGTTTTATTTGCAATTTTTTTTAATAAATAGTATTTCCGTTTCCGCATGCGTTTCTGTTGCCGTTTCTGCAAAAAAATATTTTTAACATCTGCGCACACCTAGATGAAAACTGAGACAACTCAAAAAAGGTCATTTTTCAGGAGATGAAGAAAACGTGTTACTGCATTTTTTGTTAGGGAAGTTAGAAAACTTAATATTGTTTTACATTATAAATAAGTAGGAAAATATCACCGTATGTAAACTGGGACTAAAAATCGAGCCTTTTTTACCGATAGTCAGTATTTTTTGAGTTGTTACACTTTAGGGTTGTGACTTTTTTTTTACAAATAAGACCACATTTAGACTTGAAGCAGTTTTATTGAATCATTTTGAGTTGAACTTATATTAGAACAAAAATTAAGGTAACGATTCTTCAAATAAAACTAATTTAAAAGAGTAATAAAATTAAAAATGTACATTACAAATGAAACAACATAAACTAAAGCACAAAAAATTAAGGGAATGATTTTATTATTACACTATGGTATTTAAGAACCAAAAGAATATCTTCAAAATTAAATTGGGACCAAGGCTCTCATGTTATTTGAAGCTAATAATAAATTACAAAGTATGTCTCAAAATATTAAAATTTACAGGAAGTAACAAAGAAGGTAAACGTTTCAAAATAAAATAGGTTTTTTCATGTACTTAAATACTTCTAATTATAATTTGGTATTTTTGAGATCATCAATTAAAATTACGTGGATATCACTTTGCCCACCTTTAAAAACACCAGTTTCTTATTACTACGTAACCTAAATAACAAAATAATAAAACGTCTTATAAAATCAAAATAAAATTTTAAATTCTTATAGATATGAACTTAAAAGCTAAACCCAGGTTTTAAAATTAAGCACTCAATTAACAAAAGCAATTAGTTATTATTACCAACTACATTTTTAAAATATGAATCTACATAAACCTGTGGGAATGCGTATTTTTTTTATTAGATCCTTAATGTCTTTCATCTTTGCCTAAGAGAGTGGTATTTTATGAGTGTAGGTTTGTGTCAGCCCTGTAAATCCTATCTGATCATCTTTGTTTCGGCGTTTGCACACAAACACCTTTTTATAATTTTCATCTGTAAATGACGTTTTATAGAAGAATGCTCCCGGGTTCTCCTTTTCCACCCTGAGGATTTTAATGTCGTGCCATTTAACTTGATTACGGTCTTCATCTAAATTGAAATTGGTACCCCACTCCTCTTGCAAGATTTTAGTATCGTAGAACTGTTCAAACGTCATCTCTTCCACTAGGTAGGGACTGCCCGTTTTTTTAGCTGTACGTATCAAAGTGCAATATTGTTGTGGGGTATATATCGGACCAGATTTAATGTGCCTTTTTATTTGTCTTTCTATGACGCTGTGAACAATGTCACCCTCATTTTGAGAATGAGCACGTATAAGAAATTTGTGCGTTATCGACGCAACGCGTTTAGTGACAACAGCATAAGCATAAGCCGAAAGTAAATATTTATTTTTTGCTGCCCACAGCAATTGTCGGAATAAAAGACAGTATCGATGTCTTTATCAGGATTTTTATCTAATAAAGTGTCAATATACTTCAGAACACATGAGCTTATTTCTACAGCGCCACTTTTCCCTTCGGTCTCATCCCAGAAGTAGCATATTACATCTTTTGCCGACAGATCACTTATTGTGAAATTCAAGCAATTTATTCTGTATTTGTAGAAAAACAAGGAAACTTGACCCCTTGGAACCTGCATAACAGCTTGTAAATCATATACTGCTACAATTACTCCGTCATTTCTGTTCTTGTCTTTTTCTTTGCGGTCTCTTGCTAGTTTTTTTTCTAAAAGATGTTGTTCATAACTATTTTGTATTTCAAATCTCTCTTCTTCATTAGCGTTTTTAAAGCTCTCACAGAGGTCGCAAAGATCTTTTTTGAAACAAAAAAAGAAATATTAAACTCTGTAAATATCCTGTTAAATGTTGACTTTGTGGCGAAAGGTAACTGTTTGTTTTCACGAGCTTCTTTATAATCACGATATAAGTCAGCAAGAGATTTGTCACTGCAAATAAACTTCCGCGATGTCTGCGCTCTCAGATAATGAGACTTAATCCTTGGGATACTATTTATGAACTCTGTAGCACTGAATTTAATTTCAGTATCAATTTTGGGTTGCTTTCCGTGTTTCCCTCTTAAATCATTGGCCACAATACCGGAAGCATTTTTTTGTGAGTGCAGTATTAATAGCCGTGTTACTTAAATCTAATGTACCTTTAAAAAAGCCTAACATACTCTGATTTTCTTCAAATTACAACGTAATCTGCATTTTTCGCCGCAAGTCGTGCGAACCTTCCTTTCACGAACAAGTTTCTTTGTTTTTGATAAAGACTGATAGGCCTTACCAGAATTCCTCAGAACTTTACAAATATTTACTTTCCATGTCGATTCTCTTCTTAGCCTCTTCTTTCCTTTTTTTGCTTCTTCATTAGGCTGGTTATTGCAATCTTCATGGGGCTGATCATTGCAATCTTCATTAGGCTGTCCATTGCGATCTTCATCGGGCTGATCATTGTTATTTTTACTGGGATGACCATTGCGACCTTCATTAACAATATCTTGATTTTGAGTCTGTGTAACAGCATCAATAATATCCCTGGTTTCAGTTTCAGAATCAGAACTACTGTTAGAACTAGTACTAGAATTTGCTAGATGAGCTAGTATCACTTGAAGAAGACAAAGATGAATTAAGAATTACTTTCGGGGGCAGTTTTTTCTTTTTTTGACGGACATAGCTTGGATCAGTATCAGAATCATCTATGAGATTTTGATCACTCGACGACATGTAAAGATCATTTTCAATTTGCTGCATATTGCATGGTTTGGTCAATAAGGCAGTATCTATTGGAATGAATTGGTTCAAAGTTCGAAGATGTGGCCGTCTCTCCTTCATTGAGTATTAGTGAGTTTTCTTCATACTTTTTTAAATTTGGAATTGCGTTGGGCGTCAGTTTTTTGTCTTTTTGTCGAACACAATCTGCAGTATTAGAGTCATCTATTAGACCCTTATCACTTTGTATGTCAAGATTTTTTTCATTTTGTTTGTTAATACATGGTTTTGTTAGCAAGGCAGTGTTAATTGACCTATTTTCTTCATTATTTTGAGCTTCTTCATTTATAAACTTTGCCGACTCTTGTTCATTATTGTTAATAGGTTCTCTTGATATCTTTGTTTTATAATATTAACAAGAATACGGCCTCGCTTCATTTTTTTCTGAAACAAAAAAGTTTATTGTATTACTTTTATACATAGCCACAAAAAGTAAGTTAACTCAAACAAAACCTTTTAAAACAATGTGGTACATTGATTGAAAACAGTATACTTTTAAAACTGTCAGTATAAAATCATGCAAGATTTTTCAAGTAAAACATGTAAAATGACAGGTTCAGTATAAAAAAAACATGAAAATAAATTTGTTTCAACAATAGTAGGTTAACTAGAAATTAACATGTTGATTCATCTAAACAAAGTCAAGTCAAAATAGTTATAAAATAATTACGTACCTGGTCAAACAAAACTGGAACAAGTGGAAATATCTCTAAGTAATGTAGCCGAACTATTGATCAAAACTGTAACAAAACGAAATATCCGTGTTTTCGTTCAGGTTAATACATGTACTCTCTAAGACTAGCGAAGGTCAACTGACAATACACTTGTTTAGGTGGGAGGGGGTAACATGCGTCGATTCAACAAAAGAAAGCTCTCGGCATCTAGCGCCTTTTCCTTTAAGGCTTTCTTGTACCTGTTACGTTGGATAGTTGCATGGGTTCACCCAGCATTCGAGTATAAAGATAACTCCAAATTCGCGTTGTTCGAGTTGACTCAGTTTTGATCTGGGTGTGCGCTGTTTCCGTTTCTGCTTCCGATATGACACTTCCGTCGCATCACTATTAAAAACTAATATTGCACAAAGCAACTTATAAACTATACTGCAAAACAAACAAATTAAATAAGCAAAATGGTGGATAGTGCCAGCGCTACTGAAGTTAGCAAACGTGTCCTGACCGAAAACTGTTTAGTTTCGCCATTTTGCTTACAAGCGCTTCCTAGCGCTTTTTTCTGCCAAACGCACCCAATATTCTATCGGTACGTTATGAGGAAAATAGAATAATAAACAACACGAGGACGTATTTGTACAGCTATGGTTCAAGTTAAAGTCATCTATTTATAACTTAGACTGTTATATGCTCAGAGTAGCTATTCTAAGGTTGTATGTTTCTCCAACATGTCAGTTAAAATTTTAATGTTATCTAGCTATTATATTTCAGAAAATGTTAGAGATTATCTTTGCTCGGAAATTGTTCTTTACGCGTTTTCAACGCGCTGGGCAAATTTTTTGATAACTTTTAATTAATTAAGTTATGCCGGATGCATATTGCACATACACACAGTTTGTAAAAATTAGAAAAAAAAATTCGTACACAAGTAACAACTAACAAGTGATGAGAAAAACTCAGAGCTGGTTATGTGTGTATTGTGACAAATTTTTGTACTTGCTCGCAGTTTCGGCAAGTACCTGGTTATATGTGAGAAAAAGGTAAGCTGCAGCTTTTATACGTCTTACTGCTGGACATACTAGGTAGGTTTTCTTTCTTGTCTGGGCAGATTAGGTAACAGTTGTTCGAGGCGCTGCTCCTGTCCGTGTTGGTGAATCGCACTTGCCTTGGAAATATTTTGTTTCTCAGACGTGCAGGCTTCCTCTTCTTTATTCACCGCTTGGTTAATCAGATTTGATTTCAACTTCAATTTCATTGGTAACAGCGAGAATCTAATCCGGGCAACTCACGTGCTATTGTAAAATTCCGTCGAGCTGGATTGCTCACGTATTGCGAAACTTTTGGCTTTTAGCGACTACGGCTACGTGTACGAGTATTACATTTTATTTAAAGTGCTCCAAAGCTTAAAACGAATATTTTTATGAAGTGCGCTTAATGCAAGCCCGACGGCTAAGACGCTCGCGTTCAGTATTAAATATACATATAGTACGGTGTTTTACTATATATACTCGTAACTAAGTAAACATAACCAATGTTGCCAACATCATCAGATATACGAAAGGAGAATAATTATCTTACGCCACTACCACGCCACAGTTGGCAGATTGAATGAGATATACTTCAAGCATAGCTCACAATATAGCCTTAAAAGGAGTAAAGAAATTTGGTTTTAATGAAGATATTATTTTAAAGACAGTTACAAATTTATCTTGGGAGGCCGATGTTCTGTAGTGGACTTGTGGTAGACTGTGAAAATTATGATTGTTATTATTATTTTAATACAATAACTTTTCTTAAGTCGTGTCAAATGAAGACATTAATTATTAAGTATCACACTTGCCATGTTGTGGAATCGTAAGAATATCCATTTCACCCCGGGGTTGTCGTAAGAGGTGACCATCATTTCATTTACACCAGACGTAAGATACCCAGATCAGTGACGGAGAACAGCATCAGGTGCGACACGTCTGGTAACTGGATCTAGAAATCCGAGAGTCTGCTATGCGTGACGGTTAAGGCAAACCTGCTTACTAGAAGAGGCTCTAATCCATTGAACTTTTAAGATGTCGATGATGATGAATATCACGTTATTTTAAATGTTATATTAACTTATTAAAATATGTCAAGTTATGTCCTCTTACCGCCATATTCGATTGTAGTGTAGTTGAACACCGCTGCCAGAAACAGATCGAATGACAATTGTAGGTACTCGAGGTCACTGAGTCAGCTTGACTCTGACATTCAATTACGGTACACTATGGACGGATTCGACCAAACTTTGTATAAGCATGCAACGAGTAAACTCATTTATTACTCTAAAACTCATTTATTACTCTAGAGTCAGACAACTTTTCGTTTTATCAAACATTAATCTAGGTATATAACTGTCTATCTGAGAGTAAATCGCTATACCGCAAAAATTCATTGAGTAAAGTTAGTCAGTTATACTAAATAATTTTAATGGCGGACGCTATTTCGTACGCTTTGTTGAAAAAGCAAGATATTTTACAGTTATACGTTTATAATATTTGTGACAATTGTAGGATGTTTTTAATGATGTAATGTTTACGAAATATGATCGAAATTTCTGACAGTGATTAACATCCAACGTAAATATAAAACACAGCAAAGTACTTTTCAAATCTAGTATATATATATATATATATATATATATATATATATATATATATATCGTTCATCGTTCATTCACCAACTCTAGAGTAACAATACCCAATATTGGCTAACACGTTTACTGTCTACGTTTGTGAAGTAAAAGCGCAGACGAAGTTATTGTAAACAAAGAGTAAAATTATTCTAAGATTAGTTATTCTGGTATAACATGGTACTTACTACAACTTACTACAACGTACTACAACTTAAGCGGGCTACATACGACACGATATCGGTGGCGATCTAGGGTGGAGTAGTGGGGATGCCTCCTAGATTGCCTCTAAATCGTGTCGTATGTAGGGCCATCCTAAGTCGTGGCCGATATCGCCTCCTTAATCGGCTGGCAGGAGCAAAAATGCTTCCTAGATCAGCCGATGCTTCCTAGATCGGGGCACCGCCCCCTCCTTACTGCGTGTGTGTAGGCGCATCGGCCCGATTTCTTTTGGCAGTACCGCTGCCAGCAACCCTCGCGGAAGGAAGTTAACAAAACAGTGATACTGAATGACCTTTTTTTATATAACAAATTTTTTACATTTTAATCATATAAACGGAGTAGAAGCCTATGGCACTGATATTTTACAAAAAACCAAAAAAGTGAATAAAATAAATAAATTAATTGAAATTTTATCGAAATTCAAATCATATCCACCCTAGCCTGTGACCCTGCAAAGTGACATGGTCAAGAATGCCTACTAAACTAATTTTTTTTATTGCCGTTCGTAAAGTAGAGTGTATGATGTAAGTAAGGAGAAGATAAAGCCTCTCCTCAACAACTAACTCCTATTCCAACGCTATCAACACAAGACCGCACTCATATCTCTTACAACTCCACAAGACCACACTTCGATCTCTTACGTGCCTTCATCCTCTTATCAACAACTAACTTCTACTCCTTCACCATCTCCACATCAACAAACAAGTTATATAAAAGGGAGTATGTCCGAAATAAAAGGTTTCTTTATGTTTAAAAAAAAGATATAAGCTATTTTATTTTCTGATAGTTTTACTCCATAAATAAAGATTACATTAAAAAAAAAGTGTACATATTATTATACAAAAGTATTTTATTTCCTTGTTTGTTGTGTGTAATACATAACCAGATGTTGACCAAAGCAGAAATGAACAAAGAGAAGAAATAACTAAATAGCATTGGTAGGAGAAATTGACGTTTTTATATAAGTGGCGAAATCATTTCTAGAAGGTTATAAAAACTGTCTTCATCCATCCGGAGAAAATTAATCACGTCCTTGGATTACAGGCCGTACGTTTATGTGGCTTAATTTTTATCTCTTTTGGAGCCATTTTTTCACCCAGCAACTTCTCTTTTTCTATTTTCGAATAAATTAACCGAGATGGCTAATGCCAAACCAACACGGTGGTGTTTTAAGAGAGTCGGAGGTATTTTGAAGAACTCTACCGCATATGCATTCCGCTCCAAGTCCGAACGCGTACTGCTAGGCAGGCCCGTGTGTAAGGTCTACCCCGATAAAAGCCCCGATTTCTTTCCACCCTAGATCGCCACCGATATCGTGTCGTATGTAGCCCGCTTTAGTCGAATCCACCCTAAGCGTTACCTGCACGAAGATAACGCTGAAAGTGCATGGCGTATATAGTGTGTAGGTATTCCTGACAGCTCATCAGCGTGTAGGTAGAGGTTGTGTAGGATTTTGTAATTGTATCGTCAATATCGGCTGTATCGAGATATTTGTCTAATTTGAAACGAAG